TGTGTGTGTGTGTGTGTGTATAACTGAGCAGGGAGTAGCTCTGTGTGTGTGTGTGTGTGTGTGTGTGTGTGTGTGTGTAAAACTGACCAGGGAATAGGACTCTGTGTGTGTGTGTGTGTGTGTGTGTGTGTGTGTGTGTGTGTGGTTTCCTGTTAGACCGTTTTGCTTTCTTCCTCTCCGCCACCATCCACACCAGAACCATTTTTAAAAATTTCATCCCATCATTTTCCGTCAAAACGTTCTTCTTTTTTGTCGGCCCAGTTGTCGGCCGGGAGTTGCAACGGAGCAAAATGTCTCCCGGGGGATTTCGATTCCTCCGGTTCCCTCTTTCCTACACCCCTCGCTGTCGGAAACCAAGTCAGTCCATTTGGGTGGGTTATTCCTTTTGGAGGGAAGCGTTTCTTTCCATCGGAGGGCAAAATCAGTGATTTTTTTTGGCCTCTCTCTCTTGCCTGGCCCCCGTTTGATTTTTCGGTGGGGCAGTGGCCCGACCCAAAAAGATGCCCCATCTCTGGTTTATTAAAACCAGACGTGTCACAGGAAAAAGGGCGCCTGAGCCCGAAAAACCAGCCATCCTCCCGGATCAGTCCATAACTAGATTTTGCCCCAACCACACGCAGTGGCTGATCTTTCAGTATCTCAAAATGTAGCTGTAAAAAGAAATGCGAAAAGGCGAGCGTCGAACGTGTTAAAGACGCGTCACGGGTGGGCGAGTTAGTCTGTACAGAAAAAACAACAAATGGTCGGGTGGAACAAAACACGTCAACGGCATCACGAGCGTCCGTGGTACAGCCCACTTCTTCGGATGAAACGTCAGATTAAAAACTCCAGGCATCTGAAGAAGTAGGCTGTGCCCACGAAAACTCACGATACCACGAAAGTGTTCAAGGAATTCAATTTGGGTCCAAGTGCAATGTGGAAGCACTTGGACCCAAAATGTCACGTTTCTGGTGACTTCCGAATCATCGAAAGGCTCCCCGGAGTCTGGCGAGAACATGCCGGCGATATATAGGTTCGGAGAGCCGGGCAGTCGAGACGGTGGAGAGGAAAAGAGGCGAGGACAGGAACGAGACGAAAACGGTGGCGTTCCCAGGACCGCCATTGGTCTGCCTGTGGAAATGTGCAGCCACAAGATGGTGCCCCGTCGCACGCTCGGTCACGTGGGCAAATCCCCAGAGCACGACTCGGTTCCTCGCCGGTAGAAGGCAGGTTGAACGCTCCCGAGAAGGCTCATCGGACGTGTCTTCCAAGGTGCATTGTCAGTCAAGAACAACTCGCTGGGCCGTTCCGCACGGGCCCTTTGCAATGTGCCGGCCACATGCGTCCCTCGGCCTCACACCCACTGCCACAAGAGTGCGTCACGCTACACGCCCCCCGCCAAAGCGTATCCCGACAAGTACGAGACGTGTGTAGGAATTGTGTGAAACCAGCAATCCTTTCTTTTTCTCTCTCCTTTGTTGTTTCCCCATCTCTCTTTTTTCTCTCTTCTTTTTCTCTTTTCTCTCTCATCCTTTTTTCTCGTTTCTTTTGTGTCTCTTTTCTGTTTCTCTTTTCTTTTTTTCTCTCTTTTTTTCTGTCTCTCTTTCCATTTCATTTTTCTTTTTTTCTTCTCTCCTTTTTCTTTCTTTCTTTCTTTCTTTCTTTCTTTCTTTCTTTCTTTCTTTCTTTCTTTCTTTCTTTCTTTCTTTCTTTCTTTCTTTCTTTCTTTCTTTTTTCTTCTCTCTCTTTCTTTCTCTTTTCTTTCTTTCTCTCTCTTTTTTCTGTCTGTTTCATTTTTCTTTTTATCTTCTCTCTCCTTTTTCTTTTTCTTTTTCTCTTTTCTCTCTTTTTTTCTGTCTCTCTTTGTTTCATTTTTCTTTTTATCTTCTCTCTCCTTTTTCTTTCTCTTTCTTTCTTTCTTTTTCTTTCTTTCTTTCTTTCTTTCTTTCTTTCTTTCTTTCTTTCTTTCTTCTCTTCTTTTTCTTTTTCTCTTTTCTCTCTTTTTTTCTGTCTCTCTTTGTTTCATTTTTCTTTTTTTCTTCTCTCTCCTTTTTCTTTCTTTCTTTCTTTCTTTCTTCTCTTCTCTTCTTTTTCTTTTCTTTCTCTTTTTTCTTTTTCTCTTTTCTCTCTTTTTTTCTGTCTCTCTTTGTTTCATTTTTCTTTCTTTCTTTCTTTCTTTCTTTCTTTCTTTCTTTCTTTCTTTCTTTCTTTCTTTCTTTCTTTCTTTCTTTCTTTCTTTTTCTCTCTTTTTTCTGTGTCTCTGTTTCCTTTTTCCTTCTCTCTCTCTCTTTTTCTTTTTCTTTCTTTCTTTCCTTCCTCTTTTCTTTTCTCTCTCCTTCTCTCTCTTTTTTATGGGCACCCCGCCTGGTATACTTTGTGCCAGCAGATCTAAGGAAGTGATTATTCTCCTTTATTCGGCACTGGGGGGGGTGGGGGGGGGGGGGGGGCACATCTGGAGTGTTGTGTCCAGTTCTGGACCTCTGTTACAGAAGGAAGGAGGATGCATTGGAGAGGGGCCAGCAGAGGGCGACCGAAATGATTCGGGGCTGGAGCACGTGACCCATAAGGAGAGGCCGAGGGATTTGGGTTTGTTTGGTCTGCAGAAGAGAAGAGCGAGGGGGGATTTGAGAGCAGCTGTCAACTCCCGGAAGGGGGGTTCCACAGAGGATGGCGAGAGGCTGTTCTCAGTGGGGGCAGACGGCCGAATGGCTCCCCCGTGCAATGCACGGTGGGGCGTGCGTGGCACGAGGAAGCGGGAAGGGAGATGGGAATTACCAGATCCAGGGCAGGATTCCGACTGGGCCCCAAGAAGTCACGTTGCACGGCCCAGCAGGGCGGCAACTCCCGGAAGGGGGGTTCCACAGAGGATGGCGAGAGGCTGTTCTCAGTGGGGGCAGACGGCCGAATGGCTCCCCCGTGCAATGCACGGTGGGGCGTGCGTGGCACGAGGAAGCGGGAAGGGAGATGGGAATTACCAGATCCAGGGCAGGATTCCGACTGGGCCCCAAGAAGTCACGTTGCACGGCCCAGCAGGGCGGCGGCGGCCTCGCCAGCTATTGGATGGAGGCCATAGGGCAGGGC